AGAGAAAAGGGGCAATTATATTGATGATCAAAATTTGAAGTTCAATTATGGAATGTTCTTTCAGCACTACAGTGCACATGTAGAAAAAAATTGAAGGGGCCTGGCAGCGCTTCAACTTAGTAAATGCTGCAGGTCAGTGGTTGAGGCTCTCGCGAATATGTGAGTGAAACATAAGAGCACAGCATGTGGCCTGGAATTTACGCTTCATTTTCAAGGTGAGCTAGAAATCCATAGTTGGTTGTTCAACAAGTTCTGTCCTCAATAGCATGTGGCAACTCTAGTCTCAACTTTGCACATGAACCTAAGCTCGACTGTTCAGTTTCGAATAACATGTAGCCTGCGATGGAGACGAATGCTGTTGAGAATGAGGCTCTGGTTCAGATTCTCAGCTACATTTGGTCACAGGCGAATTGCAAGAATTGTCTTACGTTTGTTAAAATCTATGAGCTTGGCATGACACCTTGGGCCTTAGTAATTTATATGAAGCCTTACACGACAACATGTAACCTAACATACTAAAATAAAATCTGGGATAATACAATGAATTATTGTTTATTATTTAGAATACATCAAATTAATATCAAGAATGATAGCAATATTTGTTAGAGTCAAAGCCACAATACAATTATGAGACACAGTACAGGAGGACTAAAAATTAAGTTCAACCACCAGGTGTTCCTCCACAAGCATTTAAATCTAAGCAAATGAGGGTTATTTGCATTTAACCGCTACTAACATAGCAGCCACTATGGAAGGCAGTCAAACTCGCACAGTTCTGGTAAGGAGCAGGATATATGTGCAGCATGCACATGTTTAAAATTGAAAACAAAAACCTGCATGTCCCTTTTATTTTTATGAGAGCTGTCTTTCCAGAGAGAATAAAACCTAACACACAAGCATTGCCCTGTCAAAGGCGTTTCTTGGAACATTCATGGCTGGTCTGGAGTAGTACTCGTGCATTCTCAGAGACTTGTCCGGACACGCTGTGAAGTATCACTGCGATTTCACTTTCTCGATCAATGTGGGGCGCGAAATGCTCATGTTAATATTCGGCATTCCTTGTGCCGAAAACCTGATGTGATTATGAGGCACATCATAGTGTACAGCTCTGGAAATTTCGACCGCTTAAGGTTCCTCGACGGTCTACCTTGGTGGAACATTGGCTGCAGTGCTTGGCTGCCGACTTGAAGGTCTCGGAATCAGTCCCAGCTACGACGGTCGCATTTCAATGGAAGCAAAATGATGGAGGCCTGTATACTATGCCATGTTGGTGCACATTAAGGAATATCAGATGGTCAAATGTTTCGGAGCCCTCCACTACGATGTCTCTCGTAATCATATCATGGTTTTGGGACTTAAACTCTCAATATCATTAAGGTTTTTCAATGTGCACCTGAATCTGAGAACACAGGGCTCTAGCACTTTGCCCCTGTTAAAAAGCGTCTGCCATGGCCTCGGCTACACCCACGACTTTTGAATAGTAGCAAGAGCACCGTAATTATTGTACCGTGGTGCTGAAGCACACATTGCCCTCACCGCAAGTATAATGAGAAGCAAAATAGAGGGAGAAAAATAACACATGCTTGATCCCTCCTTAATTGGAATCTGTAAAACACGAAAGTAAACCATGTCTTTACAGAAGTAGTTAACTGTACATTGGTATAAGTGAGCTGGTTAGTGTTGACGGCTATGGCACCGCTTAATGTGGATGCATCCACACTGACGCTTATTCATACATCTCCACCCCGACGACTGACATCCGTCATTAATGATTAAACAAAACCTTGTGATCAAGGTGCCTGTGGTAACTACAAGGAGCATTAAATCCTTAGGTAGCTGTAGTAAATGGTGACAGCGGAACCAGAGAAAGCGATGTGACAGCCAGACAGCGTGACTGGACGCTGAATTTGGGCTAAGGTAGACTACTCGCAACATGTTGGAGTTATGAACACCACTGCCCCACCTGAAAGAACCGCAATGCGCGTCGTGTCTTCCTTTCGCCCAGCGGTGATTATTCATGGTGCTAGCACAATTGAGGAATGTACAAAACCGGCGGGCATCACAGCGCTATTTCTGGTATGGATGAATGCTATGAGTGACTGTGACACTTGGTTTAAGGTCACCAGCTGGGGGACTGGTGAGGCGTTGACAATGTTGCACCTGACAAAATTGTAGTGAGTGTCGTGTCCTTCTTATCTCTCTTGTCCATGTTAAAAACTGCTCTACTTAACCTCACGGTAAAATGACCAATCACCAACTAGCTCAGTTATCAATTCTATTGGACTTCTGCAGCTGAAAATGCGCCGAACGGTACGGACGCTTAGAAATGCCGTGTTGAAGGAACTAATCATGGATGACATGGTCATGATGCATAACTGCACTTTACCAAGAACACTGTGAGAGGGCAGTGGTAGATATAGAGGGCGTATTTTTTAAAGCGTACAAAGTATGTGACCCCTGGCACAGTGGACAGCGTGCCCAACATCTGTTGTCGTAGGGCAAACCCAGAAGTCATAAATTTGATTCGTGTTGACGGAAATTCCCGTGACAGAAATGCGTCACTGAAGAGTTAATGGACCCCGGCATAAAACATTAAAAAATGAAAGCAGGGCTCGTCACATCAATGTGACATGGTCCGTTTCCTGTGGCACTTGAGAGAATGCAAGAAAAACAGATTGCCTGGAGAAGCTACGCGAAACCGAAGTGGGAGAGTATCAGCTCTGGCAATGATCCTGGCAGCACCAAAGCTCGATTATTTCAGCAAAACATAAGCCAGTTAGCACTTTACAAGCTTTAGCGATAAACCAAAACTCGTAATCTGTTGTGGGGAGGAATCAAAGGACTTCTTTTTAGGATCTAACATCTGCAGAAATGCTTCTTCCAGTTCGTTCTCTCGTAACATCAGTAAAGAATAAACACAGAACATAAAGCCTACTACAAAAATGCAGGAAATAAGTGGGAATTTAGGGGCTTGTTTTTCTTTGTTAACACCATATAATGAGAACTTTCTTAGGTATAATTCCCTCATTAATTTTGAATAGTGCACTTTAGCAGTATTGCAGAGCTTATATTTCATGCAAGCAACCTGTAAAGACTAACTGGAACAAAACATATACTCCATCAACTGAAACAGAGCTGTGTAATTTTCCTGCACATGGCTACTAAACTTGACCCAGTGGTAAATCCATCTCATGTGAATAAACTATGCTAATGCATGACACACAGAAAAATGTAAAAAAAAAACAGATAGCACAGTTACATTTTTTTTATGATCTGAAGTTTAACATTTCAAAACCACAATATGGTTATGAGAGATGCTGTAGCGGAGGACTCCAAAAATTTTGAGCATCTGGTGTTCGTTAACACGCACCTAAATCAAAGTACATGGGCCGACAGCATTTTCGCCTCCATTGAAAATGTGGCCGCCACAGCCGGGATTTGATCCCGGGGCTTGTGGGTTAGCAGTAAAGCACCCTGGCAGGGTGAAATGCGGGCAAGTTCAATCGCGGCTCCACCTTATTTGAGACAACATGGCATAGGCCCATTCATTGTGCAATGTGTGTGCACATTAAAGAATCCCAGGTGGCTGATGTTACTCAGAACTCCCCCCCCCCCTCCCTACTAAAGCATGCTTTATAGTAATACATTGTGGCACATAAAACCCCCAGAATTATTGCTACCGTAAATTCTTTTTGGCTATATTTCACGCAAACCTGGTAAAGAGAAAATGGGGATGAGATGATCAAAATCAACTTTACATTTCAGCAAAACGAATGTTGTTTGAGCCCATCACAAAAATTTCCAACCTTAAGGTTAACAGCCGAACGCGCTAGCCGATTGCACCACGGAGGCAGTCATCACCAAAAATTTATGTCTGGTGGTTTTCCACATAGAAAGTTTGCATAAGTGTAAAGGTTTTACAGCTTAGATCACCAAAACACACGTGTTTCTAATGCTGGATTTATTATTTAAGGAAGCCACAACACTAAGAGACAAAGATATAGCAATGGTGCCAAAGCTAAGAATTGAAATCCGTTTTTTTGTCTATAATTTGTGTCTTCTCTGTACATTGTATCAAGTACATAAATTGCAATTAGTGAACTCCCAGTATTTTAGGGTGGTAGATGGACTAGTTTCTATTGCATATTAAGTATAACAAAAAAGTACCACACAGCTATGCGTCAAAGGTTTCATGTGTTTTGTCTTTACTGTCCTCTTTGTTCTGTACAAAGCATATAGCATTAGTATTTGCAAACTATTTCCAAAGTCGTGCAACATTTACTACCATTTAATGTAGTCACCTATGGTGTGCTAACTGCACGGATAAAGACACGTCGACTTGATAACGGGTATTTGCTTGTAGTGAAAAGATCCAGGAAATAAACGCCTGCTTAGTGTTCCTGATTGTTGTTTGTATAACCTTGCCTACACAATGATACAGTGAGGAAGAAAGGTTAGTTGTGCAATTCGAGTACTGACAACTATTGCATGCCTGCGGCTATTAGGTAAATCTTTGGTTGGAAAAAAATTTTCTACAATGAGAACAATAAAGCATATGGTTGGCCCTGCACAAGCATAGTGTTTTCGTTAACAGAATTAGCGACACGCGCTTACTTGTGCACCTTACAAGGCAGGAAATGCTTGAAAAATGTCTCAATGCACGATTGAATTTACTGTCTTGCTGCGAAAACAGGTTAGAGGGACAAGCTGCGACACAAACTTGATATTTCCGCACGCCAAGTTGGTCGGTAGACTACCGTGACCGTGTCAAGGATCAGGCGACCGTCATAGACATCGCCGCGGCTGACTTACGTAGTAGTTGATATCCGCGTGTATCATTCGTTTTATCGCTCCAGTTTAGCGGACATGCACGTTTCCAGCTGCCACCGGCAGACCATATGAGTCCGCGAACCGTTATGAAACCGGTTTACGTCTTCGAGCCACCGCGGAGCCGAGGCTCGGTACAAGAACACGCGAGCGCGGAGCTTGTAGATGCTTACACGTGACGATCGGTTTGCAGTTCATTTTGGGCACGGCCATGCATCCCAGGGCAGGGGGTCACAGCGTTGGAAGAGCGCTTTCTACTAGCCGCGGGCCAGCAGACACTACACCTCCAGGGAGGCGGTGACGGAACGCCGTCGCGCCACCGAGTTGCGATACCGTGTCGCCGACGGCCTGCACCACTGTTTGCCGGCTTTCGTCCGGCTGCTCGTGCATCCGATTTCGAGGGTCCCGCCGGCACGCGTTACAACGAATGTTTTAACTAACGCAAATGCGTCGTAACGCGTTACATTACACCACAGGCTTCCACTTTCGATGCACGATCAGCCGTTCTGAAAATGGCTAGCGACTTACTTTGACTTTCGCCGGCTATTTAGAATCCGAAACTAGGTGAAATACTTACGTTACAACGTCAAGACACACGGAGTCAAGACAAGATAAATCCGCAAAAAAAAAATATCTAAACACGTGACTACAATGCAAGTGACGTATAGTGTCATGTGGCAAATGTGTGGTGATCGGCGACGTCAGTAGGTGTTCTGTGACGTCCGCTCGCTCTCGGCCACGGAGAATCATTTCTTCCTCCGCGCTGTCGGCGAGCGCGAGCGGTGGATTGCATCCGGGCGGCAATCTGATGCCTTTTCCATTTCTCAGGGTGAAGTGGCAGCCAGATGTCGCAGGGGCAGTAAATAGGCTGCGCTCGCCAGGCTCTGTATGCGTATTTACTGGCAGCATCTGAGGCTCGGTCGGCTCACGTGCTGACACATCTCTCGCTTGTTACTGCGCAACGCAAGCAAAGTCGCTTATAGAAATCGCACCAAAGAGAAAAGTGCCGAGCGAGCAGCCTGTTGCAACTAGAACGTTTTATCGCTAGCTTCTTCCTAGCGCTCACATTGATGTGCAAAGCCACTACATCTTCGTTTACATTTTCATATGGTGCGCCTGCCTCACTATTGCTAAGGAAGAGTGTAATCGCTCCGAAGAAGCGCGACCGCTACCAGCGCCGCAGCGCATTCTGCTGAGCCACAGAACACCTACCAGACGCCTTCTCGTGCGTGCTTTCCCTCTTCTCGCGCGTTTTCCTTCTCCCCACTTCGAGGGTGGGCACAGATAGCGGCTGCTTACTTTGCCCTACGAAATTCCGTCATCTCACAGAAACATAACTGAAGGCACAGTATACTTGAGGTAAGATATACAACTGCGCCCCATACCGCCTCGGAAAATTATTGTGGCTGCGAGTCGCACAAATATACGCGCTTGCTCCTGCTCAGCCACGACAGGCCCCACAGCCGACGGCCGCGAGCCCTCGACTGAGCTTAACCTCCCATACGCGTTGAGCATTTTCGTGACCGCTGCCTTACCTTGTGTCCCACCCTTATGAGTGGCGAAGTTACTAATGCACGGTCTGCGTGGTTGTTAGCTTTCAAGGCCGCGGTTGATCTTTTGTTACGCAAGGACGCGGCCGCTGATGCGCTGCGTCGTCGTTAAAAACCGCCATGTTGGTGTGGTGTTTTTCCTGGAGCCTACGCAGTTGTGGTGAAAGCCGAAGCAACTTCGGGAAGTGTGCCTTGCCCTAAAGTGGTTGCGCTAGGTTTCTCCAATTTGGTTTAGCTGCTCTTGGCTCGGCTGCCTCGTCTGGGCAGGATCGGCCTGTGGGCCAGCTATCACAGGAAGGCGGGTCATGTATAAGCCTAGACAGCCAGTGGTACGGGAAACGAGCTTGTTATCACTGACGCTGCGGTAGAATGAAGTTTTCTGATAGCCATTCACTGCTCCGCTCGGCGTCTCGTCTGCCGCACCTCGGGCCTGTTGATGTGTTCAATGGTAAGCAAGCTTTGATCAGAGATTTTTTTTTTCCCCCACGGGAACGGCGCACTCAGCCATTGCTTGTCTCGCTTTCCGAATAAGTTATGTGTGGCTTGTAACTTTGTTTTAAGGCGTCTCTAGTGCATGTGTGGAACATTTCAAGTTGTCCTGCAAACATTAGTAGGTTGATTTCCCGGTTTAATTTAGTGTGTCCCGACTTACTCTGTTTACGTCTTCGTTTTCTGTCCAGATCATCTGTGAACGCGAGGTCTGAATTAATGCTCCCAGACTTGCTTGTTTTCCTGTGTAGTCGACCTACAGCGGTGTGTCTCCGCAACTAGTCCTTTCGCCCTGTCTCAGGTTGTCGAAGCCCTGTAAGCTGCAGTGGCCCGTTCCGAATGGGCGTTGCCGCCAGCTGTTCAAGAAGTCCGCGACAATCACTTTTTGATTGATCTCATGCGGCGACCTCAATTCCTTGCTTTGTTACAGACATTCAAATGAGGTTTTCTTTCTAAAGCGGTTGTTCCTAACCTGGCAGCGCGGGGGTGTTGCGAATCTCGCAATACGTAGCTGCTGCATTTATTTTGGTTTGCATAAGGCGGCGTGATCAACACCGTTGCGAAGGTTGATGGGTGACGGCTTACCGCTCAGAACTGGCGCCAATGAGGCGTTGAATAGAGAGCAGAGCTGCCCACCGCGGTGGTCTCGTGGCAGGTACTCGGCTCCTCACCCGCAGGTTGCGGGATCGAATCCTGGCAGCGGCGGCTGCATTTTCGATGAAGGTGAAAATGCTGTAGGTCCGTGCGCTCAGATTTGGGTGCACGTTGCAGAACCCCAGGTGGTTGAAATTTCCGGAGCCCTCCACTACGGTGTCTTTCATAACCATATGGTGGTTTTTGGAACGTTAAACCCTATATATCAATCAATAGAGAGCAGAGCCCGTTTCTACTTAGTGGTTTAACATATCACTTAGCGGTTTCACATATAAGGTCATCATTCGGATTTAACTTATTTCATATCGGGATACCCTCATTTGCAGGCAGCTGATAAGCAATACTGACGTGTTTGTACTTCATTTTTCCAGTTGTTATCTTGCCAATAAGCGGGAACGCCCACCGGTACAAAAGTCTCTTGCGAAGTAAATGTACGTTCATCACGCTACAATACTTGCCTCCCAAACCGCTTTTCGCCTGACTGTTATGCATGGAGTGCAGTGTCATGCCTTTCTTCTGGGGCAGTACCGGCAGCAAGGTATCTCGATTTTCATAGCTGAGGTAGCAGCAATTCTAAATTTTGATTGACAGCCTGACTGCAAGCTTTCACATTGAACAAAAACGGGCTTTGCATGGACACTGTAGGCAAGTTTCATAAGTCGGGGAGTATGCTGCACAGATTTTTGTGCTTGATTTTTTTTGTCTATACGAGCGGCTAACCAGCAAAAAAGATATTTCCTGCGCAGCTTTCTCCAGTGCTGCTGTGTTACTAGTCATGATGGCTCTTGCCTCGCTTCCTTATAGTGTGACTGCCTTTTTTGTCCTGCCATTCAGGAAATGGCAGCCTATGGTGCGTGATGAATGTCTGAAGGGAAGTCTGCGTTAAACACATTCGGGGAGGGTTGTTGTTTTTACCCTGAAGTTCGGTGTTCATGTTTTCTTTGCTTGGCTACTTTGCACATGACTGATAATGTGCTGATTCCATCCTGGAAAGGAATAGCTCTGTGTCATCAATGATCATTGAGGCACCCAGGTGAGGAGTTTTCTAACACGCACGTGTCTGTGGACACAACCGATAACGTGTCCATGATTGAGTAAAGGCAATGTGCCGCTTTCTTTTGATGCCTCGCTTTATCCACAAAGCGTGTTTGTTTGCTCTTGCTGGCGCCTCGGTTATCTGCTTATTGTCTAGGAGACTGTAGTGGAGGTTTCCTAGTTCAAGCACTCGTAGTCCCAGCAGATGGCGTATAAGAGGATGGATCATAGGAAATTCTCCTTTCTTGCAAAATTTGTCATTGGCTTTTCAGGCATTGTGGTTCTGTGGCTGTATAAGTAGCATCATAATTGAATCAAGAAAAAGTCTTTAAAACAAGTTGTCCGGGGCGCCGTCCAAGCTTGACGTCACAGTTAAAGTTGAAACTTAGCTCATGCGATGTTGAATCATTGTCAGAAGCTTGTTATCGACTGGAAACCTTTGAAAAGTAGGTCGATTTTGTCCAGCTTATTCTTTACTGCATGAGCCATAAATATTAGAGCAGGGCATAGAGCATTGAAGGGCCCCTAAACCACCCAAAGGTTGAAATGTAGATGTGGCATTGCAGTTAATGCTGGTGGAGTACCGAGCGTTTCCTTGTTTCGCTCTTTTCTTTGCTAAGCTGCATTTGTTGGCTTGTTTGACCACCTCTACTAGTGCCCTTCCTCAGCGTCTGAGGTGGAAACACAAGCAAGTACCTCTGCTAGCAGAAAATGGACTTTCCTCCGCCCAGGGACGGCATCTCTTGTACACAATGCCATTTGTATTGTACACAGCGTCAGTTGGCATCATGACAGCTGTTCTCGGTAGAGGAAAGGCACTGACAGGAGCATGCGATCGTCCGTTAGTAGTTTAGAGGCCCTTTTACAGATGCAGCTTGCTAACAGCTTTTCGTTAGGTTTCATATCAAACTGTGCAAATGCTTGGCTGTAGTAGCGAAACAATCAAAGCCCGTTGTGGAGTTGTGAAAAACGCTTTTTTTTTTTCTGAACTGCTCTTGACAAACGAATAATCGTCAGAAATGGCATAAATGTATTCACTTTCAAAATGCAGAAGATTGTGTTAGCTACTGTTTAGTGAAACACAGTTTTCAGAATACTACATGGAACAGGCTGTCATTGTTATAAGGAATTGGGGTTCCTTTTTTTAGATGCCAGGCGTCTCGAAGTCGAGCACAGAGCAGTGTGCGGCGCAACCACCCTTACAGCATGCGTTTGCACCCCTCCCGCTCTCGCTCCTCTCTGACTGTATGCCCCTCTCTTCCGAGTCGCCAGCGAAGGCCAGGAAATGCCTCCTCAGCAGTGCCACAGCCACACCTTCTCTGCGCATGTACACCTCCCTACCCCTCTTTCTCCCCCGCTATGCTACCCGTGGAAACACATGCCACGTTTCTGTGAGAGCACGTCTGCATTGTTGGTAGTCGTTGATTGTCGCCTTCCTCTCGCACGGTGTGCATCTCCCGTCCAGCTTCACATCACAGTTCACTTCAGCATTAGATGGTGTAATTATTTTTCCTTAAAGAAAACATAAAGTTATGGCTGGAAATTGGAAGGAACTCTTGAACCTAGCTTGTGTAAAGCTGTTCTTAGCTACGTCTTCAAATAATCATAGACTTACCTCATTGTAGGAGTTGCTTCATAAATGCATTGCCATGAAAATTTTTCTAAACTGTGAAGTACCAGTGGAGTTGCTAAAGGCTTGTCACACGCTTCAAGTGCATTGTTTATTCGTTTTTCCTGACAGCCGCACTGAAAGTGATACATGGAAATATCGCAAGCGGTATAAAAGTTATGTCAGTGTAGCATCATATAGCCTGTTAAATAATTTCGGCAATCTTACAATCCACTCGAGCATGTTGCTGGCATGTGGCATCACCCCATGGCAAGGAGCATATCTAATTCAAATGCTACTTTTTGTCCTGTGACAGCTATCAACCAATAGCAGCAACGTGCTCTAGGGCAAAGAAAGAGCACTTCAGATAGTGGCAAATGTGTGCTCCACTTGTAAATCCTCTTAGTCATGTGCAATTGTAAGATTAGGCCAAGCTGTATGCAGCAGTGTCTGCTGCTGAATGTGTTTTTTTTTGTTTGTTTTTTTCACCAAGCACAAGGGGTTGTGAAAGGGTTCCTAGTACAATTTTCCAAGTAAATGTTGAGTAAAACTACTTTAAAAAAGCTGATTGCTTCAACAACTGAGTGCTGCAAAAATGTTTAGTCGGTCAAGTATAAGCAGAGTTGCAGTGATCTGCTGTATGCTTCAAAAGGGCCCTGCAACACTTTTTCAGCATGGTCAGACAATACTGCCACTTCGTGAATAGCAAATTTCAGGCAGTGTGCTGTGCGTAATGTCTGGCTCACATAATCTCATGAGCTTTAACTACTGATTAAAAGTGTTATGTGAATATGCTGAAAAAAGTGTTGCAGAAGTGTATTGAATGTCATCCTTTTGAATATGCAAGTTCCAAGTGATCACAGCAAGGTCCTTGCGCTTTCTCTGTAACACTGTCAGTGGCATAGCAAAGAATCATGTACTCTGTGCTCATTATTGTTTGGGAGAAATAGTTCAAGTTTTTTAACTTCATGTAGAAATATTGCTCGGAAATCGCTCCGGCAGTCAACTCTAGAACCTGGGTCGCACATTATGGCACTGTTAAATGAATTTTTGCACACTGGCAGTTGTGTGTTCAAAAATTAGCATTGCCACCAGAATTTTTTTTAATTGGTTCATTATGAGCTGAGAAAACCAGTATTTTGTAGCGGTGTAAAATGCTGTGTCCAAAAATTAGCATGCCACCAGAATTTTTTTTAATTGGTTCATTATGAGCTGAGAAAACCAGTATTTTGTAGCGGTGTGAAATGCTGATGAGAGGAGGTGAGCTCGAAACCCTTCCTTCTCGCCTCGTGTAGGCTTCGCAAGCGAAATCTCTTCCCTAGCTTCTCCAGCATTCGAGCAAACGGTCACGTGCACATGACATCCTAGAGCAAGCAAAATCCCCGAGGGCATAAGCAGCGTTATTTTGTGGTCTACTGCCTGTTTCTAAGAGATGAATGCCTCGGTGCGTGCTCGTTTAGAAATGCTGGCTTGAATGTGGTATAATAGATGAGCATATTGAGTGCTCGAACGCGCAGGGCCCTTAATTTTGTTTGCAGGGCTGGCGTCTGCTCGATGCGCGAACTGCGGAGACACGAACGCATGCGAAACGCAGGCACATTGGCCCCGCACTTTGTAATTCCCGGGGGGGGGGGGGGATGAATTGGACACACACATTCCCT